ATTATGGATTGCGTCTCAATACTTGCACACTTATATTTCTCAGAGAAACTTCCAGTTTCGATCTCCAATCTTCAAGCTTCTGTTTTGCTTTGTGTCGGTTTACAGGATAAAGACTTTTCTCAAATTGAGGTTGGATGACATATATAGTCACCACGCGGCAAAGATAATTACTTTTTTGTACACATATTTATTAAGAGTCCATTAAATACTTTTCAGGTGGAAATGCGTTTAGAAAGACAGCAAATTTTGTCTCTATTCAGAAAAACGATGAAGAAGTTCTACAAGTACTTGTATGACCTTGCCTCCAACGAGATTGATTCAACTGTATCTCGCCTTAAAGAAGTAAGTTTACTAGAAGAATATATGTACATTGTCAGTGATCTTTTAATTTTTTTAAAGCGCACTCTTTTACTGCTCGTATTCTTGCATGAAACAGTGAATTGTCACTTGGTAGTTGTAAGATTTAGAAAGTTCAAAAATCAAAGTGTTTCTTATAAAGTCTTCTTAGTCACGGTCAGATGGCCAATTCTTGGTCTGAGTCTTGCTATTCCCTTCTCAATTAGTTAATCTAAGCCACTAAATGTATCTGCAAAGTGGGTAGGAATAGATAATATATTGTTGTCACCACCTACTGATAGGGGTGCATACAAATCAAATATAAATGATTCGATTTGTGATTCGTATTAAAAAAAAGATGATTCGTGTTCGCGTTAACCGAATTCGAATCTGAATACGAATCAAATATTAGATTCGAATTACATTCGAATTCGAATATGAATATAAATATATCCGATTCATTTATATTTCAAATTATTCGAATAGTATAAATAAATAATTTTACCCTAATAGTCTAATACACCCTAGTTATTTGTATATGTTATTAAATATACAAGGTTCTTCCAAAAAAATCCTAATTTTATTCTATTTAAAATAACCCCCTAATCTAATTCTTTTTCTCAATCACCGCCGCATTCACGCTTTCAATATTCGTAGCAATATGGATAGCATTTTGGATGTGTGATGATGAATTTGTCAATTTATGTTACTCGTAGTTTATAAAAAAAATTACTATATCTAGGAAAAGCCTTTAAGAAAAATCTTTTACTAGTTTTTGAATTTGAATACATCGAATATGTTATCAAAGCAAATACGAATATTTTTAAAAATTCGGATTATGAACAAATATGAATCCAAATAGATATCATTTCAAACGAATACAAATCGAATATCTAGATATTTTATTCGATTTGTACACACCCCTACCTACGGAATGGAGGAAAATAGAGAGAATGAAAGAAAAAATGGGGAGAAAAAGATTAGTTTTAAGAAAAAGCAGTATAGTTTACATGCCTTTCATCTGAGATGTGGATGTTACCAAACATATTTGATTTTTCCATTTGAGAAAATTCAGAAGTATCAGTCTAATAACCCAGCCAAAGTAGCTCAAAAAGTGCAAAATGTGTGCCATTTTATTTGATTGTGTTTTAGTCTCACATTGTGTTGAGCATCGTATATGTACAAGACGTGTGCCTTGTTTTTCTTTCATGTCATTTCTTGCTCAACTTGGAACAAACTAAGAAACTATCTCTGCTTATTTGCAGATCAAGATGGAGCCTCATGCCATATCATTGGACGACGATCTTAACAATGCAGCTAGACAATTCCAGGTTCGCGCTAAGCCCCAAATCTTGTGTCAACGTTTATATTTTTTTAGAGTAGAAAGATATTCACAAAACCTTTTGGTGTGCCTAGAAGTCTTGAATTACATGTTTGAGCTTCTGGTTGAGTTGTTTTTTGATAAGGCATCACATTTTTTGTTCGCGTAGAGGTCATGTGTTCGAACTGCATAGCCACCCAATTTTAAAAAGTTAATGTTCACGTGTTGGCTCGATAAAAAACAGATCCTATCATAGTATAAAACCGTTTCAGTGCCTACAATCATAAGCTTGGGCTTTTTTGGTTGAGTTCTTTCCTTGACAATATCTTTAGAAAAAATAGGTACTTATTTGAGATTTATGATACCCAGGAGGAGATGAATGCCAAAGCAGATGGTCTATTGGACCCCGAACGACTTCAAGGGTATGCCATCATTGACGGGGAAGCCGATTTTGACAATGCCCTTCAAAGTGGAACAAAGGTAACCCCAGGGGGTGTCATCAGTGTGAAGTCCAACAGAAAGCCATCAGACAAAGGCCACAAGGGTGAGAAGAGAAACAAGAATGGCTCCTCATCCAAATCAAGCAAGAAGAGGAAGACTTGAACCCCATACAAGTCCTCAACCATAGTTTTTTGAATTCTAATTTTACGCAATCTTTTTCCGGTATTTCGATTCGTGGGTTTTGACGAACGATTTCACTGTATGTTTTTGGCAGAGAAGTACAGCTTTATTGTGTGTGCTGAGTTATAAGTTTTGAGTATCTCATCTTATCACTGGGTAAAATGTATCACTACAATGCTTATGACATCAAATATGGGTGTCAAATTGTGACATTTAGCCCTTGTGGTGCTCTCTTGGATTCCCAAGTTATTTTTATCATTCAAAATACATTAAGAATCAAATGAATGTGGACATGATGTGTGTCTCAATTCATTCAAAATCTAATGTATCTAGAAAATCATAATAGATCTTGTTAATGTTTATCTTAATCTTTCATAGGATTTGTATTTAAATAATGTAAAGGGATAGAACTATTATATGTATGTATGGTGTGTGCATACATATGCCAAACTTTATCTTCATATTTACGGTGTTTTAGGTCTGCAGAAGTTGGGAAAGGGTATTTGTCTCGGAGTTCTAGTTTAGAAGTTGAAACCCAAATGTCTGCTTCTCCTTTAAGTCTTTAACGCTCCACCTTTTGTAGACCCCGAAGTCAAACACAAAAATTATATGGCCTCTTTAGATTTACCATATTTGACTTAAGACAATTGGAATTGAATTCAAAATAATATTTATATATCTAAAGACCACTCCTTCTATTCTAAATTAAATGGTCTGTTTGTTATTCACATGGTTAAATTTTACTTATTATCTTTCTCTATTTTGTTAATTGGTAAAATAATATAATCATGTCACCACTAATGTTGTAGACCTTTAGATCTAATTTTTAAATATGTACGGAGTAATTTTTATTTTTCTAATTCTACATTATTTTCATATAAAATCTCAATCAAATATCAAAATATGTGATTGAAGTTGAGAGGGATAGAGTAAAAATATGACTGTATGAATAATCTATTCTAAGCCTTTTAGGTATTTTCTTTTAACTTGATATTTTACTCTTTTTTAATGAATTTCCAATGCGTTTTTTAATAATGTGACGAACCCTATTTATGCATAAAAGTTAAGGGGCATACGGAAAAAATTACTCCACAATATCCTTAATTTTCTGGTAATAGCTCTCATGTCTTACATAATTTAAAATATACTCCGTATATGAGCACACTTTCAATTTTCTAATAAGAATCCTCAGATCCGACATTATCCAAAATGTACTCTAAGAGTCTTTGAAATTTGTGGTAATGCATGTCAATGGTATATTTTGTCTATTTGGCCGTTAGGAATGAAAGTTCTGTTACTTTGACAAATATTAAATTTTACATTGATAATCATTATTTTATCAAATTCAAATAAAATTCTTTAATTTGTCAAAACAAAGGAACTTTCAATCCTAACGTCTAAATTGACAGGATTTATCTTTGAAATATAATATTATAAATTTTAAGGATCGCAAAGCATATTTCAAATAATGTGAGAACTGGGAGTTTCTTACTACAAAATCCAGGATATCTCGGAGTGACAATGTAAAATCAAAGAATTATTACCAAAAAAATCGAGAGTACTTGAGAGTAATTTTGTGGGACATACTCCTTTTTCTAGTAGGGTAATAAATGGACAAAAAAACGTATAGAACAAAGCAAGGAATAAATGTACATACGCATGCAAAATGGTAAGTAGAAGATGGGAATTGGAAAGGTGGGAAGCAGCCGTTTATGAACCAACTCCCAACACCCACAACATTAATTAACCCATTCATCTTTTCCATATTACCTTTTCCAACACAAACCACAAACCCACCCTTCTCAATCCCACTACCTTTTTATCCCTATACTGTATATAGACATAGAGTAAAAATATTGGGACTCAAAAGATCAATTTGGAAGGATTATAACTTAAGTGGTCCTTGCCATTGGCCAAGTCTCCTAATGATAGTCTCATTTGGTTAAAGATTGATTTTTAAAAAAAGATTGCTTTTGCTAGTTCCTACTAGTTCATTAACTAAGATAGTGTTTGGAAACTAGTATTTCATTTCGATCATATTACCAATATCAAAAGGTCTTACTCCGTAATAAACTCTTACGATTTTTGACTTTAAAATCAATTATACTTACGAGGTGCAATTGACGTAGGTGGGGTGATTAGTTTGGGTCGGGACTTGGCGGGGGGTTAGGAGGATAGGAATCATCAATTTTATAAACAGAGCACCGTAGGGGGGCAGTGGCTTCCGTGGCCACTGGATTCCAGTGGCCATAGAACGGGGCTCTTTTACCATTGCCTTTTCATACTCTACCTATCATATCATACTTTTTCTTTAATAATTTATCTATCACATCTTACTTTTACCCATATCAAGAACAAAATTAGAAGTCAACTACTCCGTACAATTTAACCTTTCTTTATTTTTACACTTGGTCAAACTAGAAACCCTTTTCTAGAATGGAGGGAGTACTAGGTTTTGAAAAAGGAGTATGTTGACCGAACCCAAAATGACTCGCTAAAAATATGTTAAACCCGATCGGACTGGAACCTGACTTGACCGACGCGCTAATTGCCGTAAGATTGTTTCAAATCATGCACTTTAATATGAAAGATAATGTTTTAAAATGAAGTTACAAAAATATTATGAACACGTAGTTCTTAATCTGATGATACTCCGTCATGAAGACGTAGTTCTTAAAACTACGCAATGCTATATATATAGCTTAAGATAGTGAAAGCAACCGTCAATTAGAAACAGAAGTAATTTCGAAAGAAGAAAAAAAAAAGAATTGGAAAAAACGAAGAACTAAAATGGCAGAAATAGTGGTAGGGTACCCTGAGATATTGCTAGGAGTCTTATGTTTCTTCTTGTTTTACCTATGGAGGAAAGAAACCAGTAATAAGGGCCTTCCTCGAAGCTATCCATTGTTGGGCATGTTACCAGGCACCCTATACAACATGAACCGAATCCACGAGAGGGTAACGATGACGATGAGGCGGTCTGGGGGGACGTTCCTCTACAAAGGGCCTTGGCTTGCCGACATGGACATCCTTATCACCGTTGACCCGGCCAACGTGCACCACATCATGAGCGCCAACTTCGTGAACTTCCCGAAAGGCCCCAAGTTCAAGGAGATATTTGATGTGCTGGGAGACGGGATATTCAACGCGGATCTGGACGCGTGGAGGGTCCAGAGGAAGATTGCGCGTGGGTTCATCGCCCACACGCGATTCCACAGGTTCCTGCTCGAGACGAGCAGGGAGAAGGTGGAGAAGGGGCTGGTGAAGGTGTTGGAACACGCGTGCCACAACGGGTTGGTCTTGGATTTGCAAGACGTGTTCCAACGCTTCACGTTTGACACTAGTTGTATTCTCTTCACAGGGTATGACCCTGGATGCGTGTCTGTCCATTTCCCAGAGGTTCGGTTCTCTAGGGCAATGGACGACGCGGAGGAAGTCATTCTTGTCCGACACGTCGTGCCAGAGTTGATATGGAAGGCACAGAGGTGGGTGGGGGTTGGGGCGGAGAGAAAGCTTATCGAGGCTTCTAGGACGTTGGATGATGTCATCGGGCAATACATTGCCCGAAAAAGGCATGAATTGGCGCGAGGAAAGGAGAAGGATGATGAAGACGACAAGGGTTGTGATCTCCTCACCTCTTACTTGCGAGGAAGCAACCATGACAATATGATGATGGGGTTGAATATAGATGATGACAAGTTTTTGAGAGACACGATCATGAACCTCATGATTGCGGGCCGAGACACAACTAGCTCGGCCCTCACTTGGTTCACGTGGTTGGTTTCTACCCACCCCTGTGTCGAGTCAAAAATAAGAGACGAGCTCAAAACCCTAATCCCGAAAGAGGAGTCGGAGAAATGGAAAATTTTTAAGCCAGAAGAACTCAAGCCCCTAGTCTACCTCCACGCCGCGCTATGCGAGTCTCTGAGACTATACCCACCAGTACCCTTCCAGCACAAGGAACCGACTGAGGTGGACACTCTCCCAAGCGGCCATATGGTCCATCCCAAAATGAAAATAATGTTCTCGCTCTATGCGATGGGGAGGATGGAGGCTATATGGGGTGAGGACGCGTCTGAATTTAAACCAGAACGGTGGATATCAGAGAAAGGGACAGTGAAGCACGAGCCTTCCTACAAATTCTTGGCATTCAATGCTGGGCCAAGGACTTGTTTGGGCAAAGAAGCGGCTTTCATTCAAATGAAAGCCGTGGCTACTTCAATAATACACAATTATCAAGTTAGAGTTGTGGAAGGGCACGTTGTGAAACCAAACACTTCTATTATTCTCTATATGAGACATGGATTCAAGGTTATGCTCAAGAGGATATCAAAATAGTTCAATCATCATTATCTATAATGTCTTTGGAAGTTGTTGAAATTGTCTTTAAAACATTGGTCTCCTTTGAAATCATTATCTTAAAAACATTGGTCTGTTAGATACTCTGTAAAATGAAATGTCAAAGACTCTTTTGTTTCCATATGTTTGGTTTACCGATGAATGATTGAATTATTTATTTTGATTTTATGAAAATCAAAGTGAAAAAGAATAAAATAGGAGTAAAAAATATTAAAAAGACTAAAATAGAAGTTCTATATTTTTATTTTTAAAATAAGAGTTAAAATTCATCTACACTATAATGCTAATATATAATCAACTATTATTGTCAACAATTTTCTTTTCAACATTTTCAATGTGTTATTCAATGGGGTTTTTAATAGTATAATAAAAAGAAAATAAAACTAGAATAAAAGTTATTTGAGCTTATTATATACGATGAATTAATTACTCCAAGATAATATTTTTTAAAACTCATTATAAGACCAATTCATATTAAATAAGATCGGATTAGAAGCAGCACATTCAACCTTAAATTAAACAAGATCGAATCATACCAGACTTTTGTGAATTTAGATCAATTGCAATCGGATCAAACTAGGTGTAGATCTAGTGAGAAGCAATTGGGGGCCAATGCCCCTACTAAAATTTGGTGTTAAATCAATTTTTTTGTTTTGAAACAAAAAAAATCCGTACTTTGGACTTCATGCCCCCCATCTAAATTGGGATTGACATCATCTAAAATTATGTACTCCCAATAAAAATTAATAGAACCTTATGTAATTAAGCTGGTTTTTTGTTTAAATTTATTGAAGTGTATTTTAATAAATATAATTTATTGTTTATTTTAAGATTTCATATTACATATTAAACAATATTTTACATTGAATAAATGTTCAAAATAGAATTAGTTATTTTTTGTCATTCCAAATTGTCTATTTAAAAAAAATCTAGGGGCGCTACCCCGAGATCCCCGACCAATTATGTCCCCATCTACCCAAACTCTTGTATCCGCCACTAGATCAAACGAAGAGAACATATCATAATACTGCACTTTTAGAAGAAATGTTTAAAAATAAAAAAGTGAGTGATTAAGTTTAAAAAATACTCCGGAGAAAAAATGTAGGCTATCTACTCTATATGTTTTACTCCTTCCGTCCTAAAACATTCTTCGTAGTTATTATTCATGTAATATCCTGATTTGAAAATAAATAGATTTGGGAAAAAAAGGCTCAAAAGCATTGATTATACTACTCAAAACGACAAGATGCATCTTCTTTTTGAGAACTCGTCACCTAGAAACTCCAAAATTAAGTATAATTGACTTGGAGTAGTTTTAAGATGGGTGACCCTCGGGGAAATTCTCAGGGCGCGCACGAGTGAAAACAAAGTGTGCGGGAAAGACTTGCGTTTGTTTGTGTAGCCACTAGCCAGTCTTCAATCCAATGACCGGACGCTTACGGCTAGGGTGGGGAGTGAGGTGTTATAATTCACATGGTCAAACTTTAATCACTTCATTACATATTTTCTTTAGTTATTTGATAAAATAATATAGTCTTGTCATTTCTTGTTTTATAAAACTTTTGAATTAGTTTTTAAATATATAAATTTTATTTTTTAATTTTATACCTATAATCAAATTTATTAAATTGAAAATAAAGTTGGTTAAACCTCATAAGTAGATCAGAAACAGGAAGAACGTTTTATGACGGAGGTAGTAATTTATAGAAAAACTAAAGAAATATTTAAATTTTTAGGAAAATTTAAATGAAAGAGTATATATTTTACTCCTTTTTTTAAAATTTAATTATCTATTTCGATTTACGATATTTGAAAAAAACAATTTTCAATACATTTTATTTGAGAACTAGGTACAAATAAAAAATACTACGTAATATTTACATTTTTAAAAAGTACATAAAAATTTATAAAACAAGAGATAACATAAGTATATTATCTTTTTAAATAAATAATGAAAATAAAAAGAATAGTTATGTAAAATTTAGGTTGTGAATACTAAAGACAATTAGTTTAGGACTAAACTCACTAAAGACTGCTCCGTAAGGGCACTGGAAATACGTATGAAGCCCCGGAGCTTCAAACGTTTTCTCTCTGCCACGTCAGCTTTAACTTATCTCACAAATTTACTGGAAATGGGTTTGAAGCCCCGGGGCTTCAAACAGGGGATTCAAACCTTCATTTTTTACATTTTTTAATAAACATCTTTTAAAACTAAATTTAAAAATTTAATTATATTGAAATGAGAATAATTTAAAAAAATTACATTCATAAAATTAAAATAAATTAAAGCGACAATAATTAAAAAAAAATTACATTCATCAAATTTTAAAAAAATAAAGCGAAAATAATTAAAGAAAAAAATACATTAATAAAAAAACTAAGGTAAATTATATTTAGCTTTGATCTCTTTTTGTCTTCTCTCGAAGATCATACGTTTGAAGCCCGATAACGTATCAAGGTCGGTTTCCATTATTTCGATCTCTTCCTTCTCTTGCTTTCTTCTCGCTCTCTCATCTTCTCGAATATTGAACATATGAAGTTGTTCAGCCACTGCCTGACCGATATCGTCATGAGAAGAAATAGAAACAGAGTCGGACCCTCTAGAACACGAGACAATGGATTTTGCCTTCTTTTTCGATTGGGCTGTGGAATGGGGTCTTCGTCATTAGAATCGTCAACAATGAAGGGAGGCTTTGTTCAGACGAACCGATAGTGTCATCGACCTCAACCTCGGCGTCGATGGAGGATCTTTTCTTTGAGGATCCGGCGTTGGAATTGTTGAATTGTTGCCATTTTGGGGAACAGATTAAAATTCTCCAAAGATCGATGTGCACCCGACACCTTGCCTTGGTGCCTGTCGTCTTGATACCGGTCCGTGGCAAGCCGGAGAACATCTGCGTCATTTGTCCCGCTCCTCCGGGACCGAGTGCATTCCTCGTAAACTGCGATAAACTCTCGGACTTTACGGTTGATGTGGCCCCATTTGGAAGTGAGTTGGTCCCGAGTACAGTACAAGGCGTCCTTGTTCATCGCCGTACAGAGCTTCTCCTCGATACAATCCCACATCGCATTCTTCGTTTGCTCTGAATCTTTAAAAAGTATAACACGAAAAAACTTTTTAACACAAATATATAAATAAGAACACAAATATATTAGAAAGCATATACTCCAACAATAAGATGCTCGGAAACATCAACCCATGCCGATTCTAACAAGCACTCTTCCTCTAGCGTCCACTTTTGGATTGACCGTGGTGCCTCAGTCATCGTTTGAGTGCCTTTCGCTTTGTGACTTTTCCAACGTGCACTTTTTTTGGTGTAGGATGGTTCCGATTGAGTCTTCGAAACTGACTCCCACTCATAGATGTACCCCGATGGTTGTGTCTCGAACAACGTTGGATTACTCCTGTATTGTTGGAAGATCCACATGGCGTGCTCGTTAGGTTCTAGATCGTCGTGGGAAAAGCTGGAATCGGAGGGATTCACGTTAAAAAGAGAATTGAGAATTGAAGATGTGAAGAAGATTGATGAGAATTGGAGATTGAAAGATGTGAAGACGATTGAAGGATTGGGTTTGAAATTTATTTAAGAAAATAATTAATTTTTTTAAAAAACTATAATGGCTAATTTAGCCGTTGGGGGAGGAGGGAAGTGCGTCAAACGTCTGGCGCCATGTGGTGACGCCATAGTAACGCCATAGTGCTCCGCTATTACGTGTATTTCCTTTGCTCTAATTCGAAATGGAGGCGAGCAATAATGTTACGGAACGGTGAGCTGTGGAAAGTAAAGGGGCAAAGTGGGGATTGGGCCGCATTATCAACGTATAGGTTAAGTTGGGTAGACCGAGGAGGAACCTATTTGATAAAGATGAGGTGGTCCATGGCGGCCATATTTAGGGTCTGTTTGGAAATATCGTTAGCGTTTTGAAAAGGTTATCTACGTGCAGCGTTTAGCGTTAGCGTTTTCAAAGTAATCTGCACCGTCAAAATTTTATCCAAAACGCTAACGCTATTCCCAAACAGGCCCTTAGGCGATCGCAGCGGCGGTAGAAAAAACGGTTAAGAGAGAGAGTCCTGGTATGACTTCAAGAGTCCATATATCTTACAAGTGAGTCTTGTTTCTTTTACAAAAAACACAATTCTTACGTGACATTTTTGTATTAATAATTAAGCTCCATAAAATAATTATACACCTAAGGACCACATTAGAATTTGGATTGAACATGTAACAATCATAATCTATCAAGTTAAATAAATTACGCACGGCTAATTAAGTGCATTGAGATGGGTTTGGTGCTAACTGCTAATTGAGGTTGGGGTTGAAAATGTGAAAAAGAAAAAGCATCCAAAATAGGAGGGAACATAGTCCGTATCTTTAAAATAGGAGTGACATATTTTTCTCTGAAATAGGACTTAGTACGATAACAATGTTGAAATTTTTTGTTATTACATGTTGATCGATATTATTGAAAGTGTAAGTCCTAATTTAAATACTCTGTATAAAACATCAAGATATCTTCATTGTTTAGAATATTGTAGAATGTCAACATAAGATCGATCTTATTTTAATTTTTTCCTTATATTTTACTATTATTTCAAACTTTTTTAGGAATTATTTTAGTCTTTAATCACTAATTTTCCAAATTTTATACTCGTAAAGTACTCCCTCTGTTCTAAAACTCGTTTTTCTCGGTTACTATTCACACGATCAAACTGTAATCACTTTCTTTACCTATTTTCGTTAGTCATTTGATAAAATAATATAGTCTTTTCACCTCTTATTTTGTAAAATTTTTTATTTATAATTAATAAATAAATAATTTCATTTTGGAGGAAAGGAATAGTAGTGCTTTACTCCGTAATTTTTATTTTTTTTATCTACCTTGTAATTATTTTCTTACTTCTCTATTTAGTTTATTTCATTCAGAATTGTCTTGCAAATGGGAGGAAGTAATGAATACTCCCTTTGTCCTGCATATACCTTCCTGATTTATTTTTCACAGTGTACAACACACTACTTTGATCAAAAATATTTATATATATAATTTTTTATTATAAAAATATGATATTTTAAGACTTTATTTTAAAAATGAATTCATTGATATTATATTTATATCATAACTCAATATATCTAAGTTTTGTAACATCAATAATGAGTATAGAGGTACTCTACCTAAAAAAATGAGTATAGAGGTACTCCGTAGTGTTTACTTCCTCCGTCCCAAATTATTTGCCACATTTGTATTCCCGTGGCAAAATATCAAGTTTTTTCAATTCATTTTATTTACAAATTAGTATAGAAATAAAAAATAAAATTTACATATAAAAAAACTACATGAAAAGTTCTTTGAAATAAGAGGTGTCAAGAATATTTTATTTTATCAAATAACCAATGAAAACGTCAAAATAAACAAAAGTTCTCGCGACTAGTGAAAAAGCAAATGTTGTGAATATTTTGGGACGGAGGGAGTATGTTTGTATATTGAGACGAACGGCTGGAAAAGGCTGGTATCCGGCGCGTTATGTTGTGTTTGTACTCCAAAAGTTTCCTACGACGTTTCATATCAATCAAGTACGTCTTTGCCGTGCCGTGGCTTTCAAGCAAGTATCCTTCGTTCGTCATACATCACTTCAAATCTTTTTTTGTGTGAGGTGTTAGTTATGCAATTGCCAAAGGCAAGAAGTAATAGAGATAAGCCCCAATTTTGATTCTTAACAATTGCACTGGAAGGCAAATTTACTAATCATATGACCTCTGTAAGTATGGGGTATAGATTCTACTCTTTGTCACTAATTTGCGCTCAAAATCTAATTTACTTCTTCTCGTTGACCGTCTCGCCGGGTCTGAGAGGACTTTCGGGTTGAGGCTCATCCTTTTTTTAAAAATCCTTTTTTCGCTTATCTAAAAAAGATTTTTTGTATTATTTTTTTTAACATTTAAAATACTATAACTACCTCAATTATTTTATTCATTTCACGTCACTCAACTCATTTAATATACACCCTTTGTCTCAGAAGATTTCCATAGTTTGATTTTTTGGTCAAACTGTGGTACTCTTTGACCAAAAATTAAATTTGATATTTCACTAAATTATTCATTACATGTCACTCAACTATTTTTTTAATAAACTCAATTTTACTAAATTTATATTATAATTAAATATTTTTTCGTATTTCATGTTCGAAGGTATCATAGTTTAATTAAAAAAATTAAATAATAACAATCTTTTAGGGATATAATGAGTATAATACACACATTACCCCCTTTTCCGGCCACGACAAATCTTTTACACCAACCCATTTCTTTCTCCACTGCACCCACCTAATTTAGGTAAGTTGTAAACAAACATTTCGACCAATAATGACTACAAGAGCTAGCATTGGAAATCTTCGTGGAGTCCCGGGGCTTCAAATCTTTCCTCTCTGTCACGTTAGCTTTAACTTACCTCATAGTTTCAATGAAAATGTGTTTGAAGCTCCGGAGCTTCAAACTGAGGCTTCAAACCTTTAGTTTTTACATTTTAAATATATATCTTCTAAAATTAAATTAATAAAATTGAATTATTTAATTATTTAAAAGAATTGAAAGGAGGGTTCATTAAAAAAATTACATTCATTAAATAAAAAAATTACATTTATTAAATAAAAAAATTACATCTATAACGACTACGAACAAATTACTGATTATTTCACCGGCTGAAGATATGCTCAATCAAATCCGCTGTTAGTGCATTGTTAATTTCTCAGCTTCGGAGTAATTATTTGGCGGTTTCTTCATTTCATTTCTTCATCTATTTCTTCGTACATAGGCACATCATCATCCGGGTTGTAATGACAAATCATAAACCCGTTGTCCTCTATGATCATATTATGAAGAATAATACATGCGTACATGATATTCCCCATTTTTGTTTGAGAAAAACATTTGGACGGACAATTTAGAATGTGCCACTTAGCCTTAAACGGCCCGAAGGCTCGCTCGATATCTTTTCTCGCCGCCTCACGAGCTTTTTGTAGGTCTGGTGTTTAAGACCCATTGGTTCGGAGAGGGCTTGACAATCGTGAAATCATCTGGATATATTTCATCGGCCAAATAATATACACGCTTGTAAAGTGTCCCTCTAAGCTCAAAAGGCGAATCAGATACGGTCTCATTAATCCAATAGTAAAAAAAGGCGATTGATCGAGAACGGTGATATCATTGTTTTAGCTCGCGACACCGAAAAAAGTGTGCTAAAACCACCAGTCATTTGAAGCAACAGCTTCGAGCATGATAGTAGCCTTGAGATGATCATCCTGAGATAACTGACCATGCCACGCAGTGGAACAATTTTCCATTCCCAATGCGTGCAATTAATGCTCCCAAACATGTCAATTAAATCATGTTTAGCGCATGCCTTTCTTGTAATTACTCAATGTCGCTCGTTGTAGGCTTACATAAATATCTTTTATGATAAATTCGAGTAATAACTTTAGAAAATTTATAAACACAAGACCTAATACTTCGAGCCAATATCTTCCAGTACTGTCGAACATATCAGATGTCGTCTCATACGCCATACGACAAAGCGCGGCAGTGCACTTCTGCACACTGCTAAGCCCGTGTCGCCCTCTCACATCAAAGCGTTGGGTGAACGAAGACATCTCGTATTTAATATCGGCGAGTATGGGTAAAAAGAGAGGACGACTCATCCGAAAACAATTACTAAAATTCCTGGTGTATAAACACACGGAGTATTGAAGTAGACAAGTAGTCATTAAGGAGTGAAACGTGCGCAGCTACTTGATCCCGGTTTAAACGTTGACGTTGGGTCGGGCGTTGGGAGAATTCTGGTTCTTCTTGTTTTCCTTGTTTCCACCATTGATAACAAGCCGTGGCAAAACAATGAAAAATGAGAACTCTCTTTTCATCATCAAATGAAGGTGATCTCATTTTTAAAATATTTTGTAGAAATAAATATAAGGAATATAAAAATATTTAAAAGAATATTATTTGATAGAATTATAGAGAGAGATAGAGAGAGATGTGTGAGAGAGATAGAGAAAGATGGTTTGAATTTATGAGTTTTTTTGTTCTAACGGCTATTTTAGCCGTGGGGGGAGATGCGCCAACGGGAAGAAGCGTCAAAAGTTTGACGCAGGGGAATTGACGCCCCATAACGGCTCCATGGGGGCGGTGTTTAACGCCCAACAAGCGTCAAAAGCCGGTTGACGCCCCCGGCGTTATAATCATTACCACTGCACTAGGTCATTTTTGCCAATTTATTTCCACCGTCAGAGAGGGAAGAGAGGGAATATCAGACTTTGCTAATTAAAAATTATGAAAATTTTTATTTCTTTGTATATTTTTATTAAATTTTTGACAAAATAAGAATTTCTTTTCACCTCATGTTTTGTACTTCTTCCGTTCAAATTAAAGTTGCATGTTTATTATTCACATAATTAAATTTTAATTACTTCATTCGTCTTCGTTACTCATTTCATAAAATAATATAGTAACACTATATCTTGTTTTGTAAAAATATTATGTATTGTAGTTTTTTTAATTTATAAATCTTATTTTTTCATTTTACCCAATTTTCATGTATATTAATTTGAAAAGTACTTCAGTAAAATATTGTAAACAACAACAGACAACTAAAAATAGGACGAAGAGATAAAACTTTTGACGTAGTTTTTAAATATATAAGTTTTTTTAACGTATTTTCCATTTCCATATAAATTTTTAAAATAAATTGAATTTAAAAAATTGAAATTTCATTTCATTTAATTGAAACTCAATTTATTCTATTTGACTCAAAAAAGTCAAACTGGACAGACAAACACACTGAGACGAAGGGAGTAGTATTTTTCAGCATTACTCCGTATAAGTTAGCATTATATAATATGCTCTATTTTGAAAATAGAAATATAAAATAGAAAATCCTATTTTGATTCTGATTTCAGTCTTTTTACCTTTTCCCAATAAAGGGAAACAATAAAATGGAATACCATTTCTACACCATCAAATATCTTAGAGTTGTTCTTACGTGATCTTAAAAATCTACATATTATATTGGATTTTCTTACACATTCCATAGGCTGCTGAATGGATCATTTCTTTTTTGCAAAGGCCTGATCTTTTATCATATCAATTCACTAGAATTCTCAAAATTAACAATAAGCTTATAAGGATCACATGACAATTTCTCAATATACTCCCTTCTTCCCAAAAGAATACAACAATTACTACTTCAACTTACACGATAACTTTTGGTTATTTACTTGTTTTGATTGATCATTTGAGAAAATAAAATATCCCCATTATATTTTGTTTGTAAAATTTTTGATGTACTTTTAAACGATATAATTTTTATTTTTATTTCTCTGCCAATTTGTAACTAAAATAATTTTAATATTTTACACATTGTTCGAAATGTGACAAATAATTTGAGATGGAGGAAGTATCTTATAGTGATATGTTTCAAACAAAACATTTTAGTAATCACTCCGTATTTAACTTGCACCAATCATACAATAAAATTTCAAATTGTCCGGAATAATAGTCACACCACTAATCCAGACTTAAGCGCTCTATTAAACACTTGCCCCAACAAAGGCCAATCAGCTATTCATATGAAACTATAATCGCGCCTTTTTTCTACAAAAAATAAAATGAAAACTAGAACATAACTAGATAAAGATAATTTTACATGAAATCCCAGCTAGTTAATTAAACTCCATATTTAAGAGGTAATTTATTAATTAATTATTGCTGAATTACTCTGTGATGTTGTCTGGATGGATCATTGGCATTCTTGGAATGCTTTATGCCAACTCCCAGTCTGTCTACTTCTTTCTGGCTCACTTCCAGCTGCTTTGTGCTCCTGCACATATATGCATTACTTAATCAAAACCTCACTCAATATTTCCTTCCTTTTGGTTTTAGCAAAGATCAGACCAATTTTTCATTTGTTCCTTCTGTTGTGAGCTCCACATTGATTGGGACTTTACAGCTGTGTTTGAGTGTTTCTTCTCTTTTTGACATTAAATGCAAAATCCCAATGTTGATTGACTTAAGACTAAGGTAATCCCAAGTACTATTGTCTCTTTCTTCATTTATTAGGTCTACTCTCACTAGACACAATATCAAGAAAACTATTCCCTTCATCCCAACAAATTTTCACGGAAAGTCAAACTGTGACATTATTTGAACATAAATTAAATATAATTTAAAATAATTAAATATTATAAAAATTTGATTTTTCAAACTATATTTTAAAATGAGTGTTACTCCCTCTCAAAAAAATTAAAAAAATAAAATCAGTTATTGTAATTTATGAATAAGAGAGATAATCAATATGAGTCCCTTATTTGTTCCTTTTTAAGGACAGAGAAATTTATTTAGAAACAACCCAAAAAGAAAGCCTGAAGATTAATTTGAGACATAGCAAGTATTAATTTTAGTTACATACTGAGTACATTTTTTATTTTTCTAAATTTTGTGAAGTCAAATCAATATTTTTGTCTCATATAGTGGGGTAGAAGCGTAGAACATTATGAACTACTCTGTACCTTGGACTTCATATGCAATTGAGAAACACATGCACATTAAGACAAGGCAAAAAAGATATGCACAACAAATTTAGACAAAAGGGAGTATCACATATGCACATACGTATATACCACATGAATGACAACATTGTTTGTTTTTCCAAGTTTGTCTTTACCATTACTTTCCTCAACCAAAAATAATTTAATTCTCACAACATGATCAAACATGGATCATTAATTGATAAAATAAAACATCATTGAACTTATTTTATAGTACTTCTTATATAATTTTTAAATATATATCCAATACATTTAATTCAAAACTTCACAACTATTTGGAAAAAAATTAAATTTAAAAGAATGTTAGTCAAACATACAAGTAGATCTATATGTGAGAGAGGGAGCATGAATGTGGGGATAAACAATCAAAGAAAGCAGAAAAATGCACCACAAGTGTATAGTACCCCAAACATTTGAAGTCATAAATTTTTTTTCTTTTTTTTTACACAAAAAAAATGTGTGGTTTCAAATGCTTGGGTATATTTGAGGCATTCCATTTCTTGTACCTTAGATACACAATTTAGTATACCCCATTTACACTATTTGATGTACCTCTAGCATTTTAAAACAGTATCTATAATTCTATAAAGTATAAAGCGAGCTTTTTTGTAGTACAAGTTAGTATATATACTCATTTAAGTGTATCAGACGACAAGGGTAGGTACATATTTTATGACACTGAACATAATATTCAACTCTAAACAGCTAACTTGGAGATCTTCTCATCATCATTAATCCGTCAACTTTTTTTCATTAATAATTGCAGGTAAAGGTGTTGTCAATCACTAGGAATGCACCATTTGGCTACCCCATTTGCAACTCAATAATCTTCATCATTCATTATTTATCCCTCATCAATTTTTTTTATACCTAAACCAAGATTGTGTGGTTGGGATTAAGTGGGTATATTTAGGATACACTTTTTGGTGTATCTTTAACATTTTTTTACATGGTAATACTTGATTTTGGATTAAATTTCCATTGGGGTGTTTTAGATTGTATTTTACTCTACTTTTAGAGGCTAGTAATATGAGAATTTAAAAAGTGGCATTTTTAATACAGCTGATTCATAAAAGTAATGACTTAAACTGATTAAACTCCTTGCTATATTGTTTGAGAAGAGAAAGAATGGGCTTAGCACATATAACAAGGCATGAAGTGCCAAGAGGTTAACAATCTTAACATCCAAATTTGAGTTCAAATAATTGTGTTGGAATATAATTAAACTAAACATAGGCCTCTGCAAGTACAAAATACATTCTTCCATTCACCAATCATTTTATGATTAAATTTAATTTACCTCCTCTTAGGTGACCGTTAAGTGTGTTTTGAGTGACTTTCGGGGATCTAAGTTCATCTTTTTGAAAAAAAATGAAAACCTTAAACAATGAATGGAGTACTCGCTTGGCTATATTCATAGAATTGCATGGACTAGTAAATTAAATAAACTGTAAAAAAAGATTTTTTCCCCAGAATATCCAATACTGCAAAAAGGTTAGGTATGGAGTTATGGACGCCTCAAAGAGTCAAAGAGCACAGCAAAATGACACTCATTTCGTTCACTTTCTTTATTTTTTACCCCTCCCACTCAAAATAAATTACTCATTTGGATCAATGTGCAAAATGTTGTAACTATTATAATAATTTTATTTACAAACTAGTATTGAAATAAAAAAATAAAAATATATATTTTCTCCATCCAACAATAAAATTTTACAAACTAGTATTGAAATAAAAAATATAATATATATTCTCTCCATCCAACAATAAATTTTTATTTCACAACTCACATGACCAAATTTTATTCATTTTATTGACCTATTTTCGAGTCCTATTTGATAGGGAGTAAAAATAATAAAATCATGTCACATCTAATTCTGTAAATCTTTTCATTTAGTTTTAAATATGTAATTTTTATTTTTTAATTCCACACTATTTTTCATAAGAAATGATTTGAAAACAATTTCAATAAAATATTGTAATGCGCAACGGAAACTTTATTTATGAACGAAGGGAATATTTACAAGAAATTGTACAAAACGAGAATATTTTATTTTATCAAATGATCAATTAAGACATGCAAACAAACTAAAATTATCGATAGACCATAATAATAAAGAAGTAACCACTAATTTTTTATTTGTATATAAATATAAAGATATTATAAAAATTTGATATTTCAAAATTATGTTTTGAAAATTAATCTATTCACATTAATTTGCTCTATAATTAGAGTTTTTTTTAAATAAAATAGCAAGTATATTTCCTAGACACTCATAATTGCCTTTGTAAAAATAGCAACTTTGCTATAACTTATCCCCACTTTGGAGTGAACGCAAATGAAAAAAAAGAGTAAATTCCATAACTGGTCCTTTATAACAGGGGGGTTTCCATATTTAGTCTTCTATTATCAAATATTACCCCCGTAGTCCTTTTTTTAAAGGTACCTTTCCACAAATGGTCCTTTTTTTGATCTTCTACCGTGTTGGTGTTAATTCAAAGCCAAAAAATATAATTTGACGTCAACACTATGTCTAGTGACGTGATCTGATATTAGTTAAGTAGATAACACAAAATAATGACTATGATTGTGGGCTAGGATTCTGACAAAAGATCACATTTGTAGACTATAATTATCATAAAAAGTGACTGTAATTCACAAACGATGTAAACGGAACAGCCTTTGGAATTGTGTATGACAAAAAAGATATATTATCATTATGAATTTACACTTTTAACCCTCAAATTAACACCAACATGATAGAAGATCAAAAAAAGGACTATTTGTGGAAAGGTACCCATAAAAGAAGGACCATTAGGTAATATTTGATAATAGAGGACTAAATAAGGAAACCCCCTGTTATAAAGGACCAATTATAGAATTTACTCGAAAAAAAAAAGACAATTGCTAAAATTTATATTTTTCGGTGTTTGGCTTCAAGGTTGGAGATGGTGTAACTAGCAAGGGTAAAGAATTGAGGGATGGAGGGAGTGTTAGGTAGAGAACATAATTGTAAGATGAAAATCTCTTAATTAACAGGCAAACATTTTAAAATGCAGAAGAGTAATCTGTAAAATCTGAGAAGAAGAACTCACCGATCAGAATTGTAAGATGAAGATCTCTTCAATCCCGTGAATTCGTCCTTCCTCGTCTCCAGTAAGCTCCCACTGAAGTACTCCTTTTCCTCCATTAATGAGTTCATTTTAGCAGAGAACTCCACCGTGGCAATCTCTGCATCTTTCTCCACCGAATTCCCCCCGCGTGGGAGTCTGGTTCTGTAGTGAGAGATCAGAGAGAATTCATCGTCTCTCCCGCCGCAGTCCCGGAAGGACCCGCAGGATAGCAGCTGGAGTAACACCGATGAAGATTTGTGCTTTCCTTTGGCGGCGATTGGATCTTCGGTTATCGTCTCTGGCCGGAGATTCAGCCGGCCGTCGGCTTTCATCAATGTCTCGAGCGTTTCCGGACTGGAATCCGACGGAGGCGGCGATATCTCCCCTCTGCAGAGCTCCGTGCTCTGGACAGGGTTTTTTACTTCAAGGTCTTTCTTCTTCTCGTCTCCGCACTCCTCCTTGACCACCCGGACCGGTCTCCTACGGCGGTGTTTTTCGTCTGTCTGAGTCCAGGCGTCGGAGGCTCTGCCGGAAGACTCCCCGCCGGACTCCGCCTTGTACACTCTGTACTCGTGGAAATCCGAGGCGCTCCACGACTGGTTCCGTCTCTGTTCCGTTACGGAATACTCGCGATCCGCACTGGATTTTCGGACTTCCGGTAACAACTGCAACGCGCCAGAAAACCCTAACTCCTCGGGTTCTCCCTCCATGAGCTCCGATCCTTTGAGAACATACTCGTGGCCGTGCGCCGGGTAGATGAAATCGTTCTCCGTCAAATCGTGCCAAACAAATCCGTTCTTATAGCTCCTGCAATTTCACAGACTTTCTCTCAGAAAATCGACAAATTGAACTCGCAATTGAAAAAGCTGTGTAGAAAGGGGAGAACGATTTGGTAACCTTTTGGCAGACCATGAATAGAGCGCCGCCATTCCCTTTCCGCGGAGAGAATTCAAGCGATTGATCACATCTGAAAGTCGATTAACTCAAATTGATCAATAAAAATTCCTGGAAATTTCTGGAGTTTGTACCTATAGGTATAGAATTTCTTCATCGTTATTACCTCTGAGATAGAGACCTTCAGGAGCAGAGAGAGGGACCTCCATGAAATGCGGGTGCTCGAGCTGGCCGTTCCGGGAGAGATAGTAAACGACGGGAACTCTGCGGTCCGATTTGGGCCTAGGCTCGGCCCAGACTCTGGTCCGCTCGGGGCTGGTCCATTTCTTCGCCGGGAGAAGCTCCGTCGACCTGGCGGACCTCACCGTCGCCGCCATTCGAGGTGGAGAGAGAGAGAGAAGACCTTCGGGAAGGGGGGAAACAGAGCTCGGAAATTGATGATGGCGAGAATAATACGTATGAAGAAGAAGAAGAAGAAAGAAGAAATTTCAGCTTTTGACTAATGTGGCCATGGCGTTTTCCCGATGCAGAAAGGTGAAAAAGGGGGAGGGAGTTAAAGTGAGACTGGAAGACTGCGCCGAGGATTTCACACGTTTATAAGCATGGCTGTGGGCCCTTGATTCGGTGGTGGGCCGTGGGCGGGCGGAGGGTTTCTAATGGACAGTGAGGGTCGGATCGGGTCCATTCGGTATAGACTTGCATTGCATGCCTTATTAATGAAGGTTTGTCGGGCCAGGGTCCGACTCAATCCTTTGAATTACTTTAGGCCGGTCCTAAATTTAGCCGTGCGGTTATACCTCGTCCCTCAATTGTCCTATTTAAAATTTAAAAAAAAAAACACATCCTACTCACCAATGTTCTGAAAATCAGACAAAGCGTTGAACATGGTAAGCAAGTGGATACCTACTCACCAATGTTCTGAAAATCAGAAAAAGCGTTGAACATGGTAAGCAAGTGGATAGATTTTCACCGGGTTTTATCGTAAAATCACTTGGGGTATTGAACCGGATGAGAATTCTGCCAGGGTCATAGTCTGACGCGTTGGACCATCTCGTTCGATTCGGGTTCAATAACATTCGTACTCGCATGGATAGTATGGTTTATATATCAAGTTTGACGTTTTATAACTATGTCTGGTGGTAAAGTTTTGTAAAAGTTCACTTCCCAAGATTCACAAGAAAACTAACTCATGTTCGAGTTTCAGCAGAAGAGGAGAAAAAGTAACTTACTATGCATTATTTAATGGAAAAAGTATAACAGACACGACATTGTAATCGAGCTAATAACAATAAGAAAATATATTTTTATGAGTCATTACATGATCTTTTAGGCACTTTAAATATAAATGTAAGTGCAAATCTAGGGTAGTCCAAAATGGGTACCCATCTGTACACCAAGCAAAAACAAGCGCACACATACATTCAAGTATGAGCACGCGCAGACATTTCTGTTTGTTTGTTCGTGCACAGACATTGGATGTATTTGTGTGTTTGTTTTTGTTTTTATGACATAGGAATATCCATTTTAGTATATCCCTAGCATTATTATAAATGTTATGTTTTGTGACATATCAAATGCAAATGTTTTTCATATAGTGAGATTGTATATAGTACTTTCTTTGTTTATAAAAATCCTTTTCTTTTTCATTTTTTCGTTTTCAACAAATCACTTACACTTTTGAATAAAAAAAACTAATATATCCAAATAAAGTATTATAATGCACTTCATTCGTTTTGTAGTGCTATAAAAAGTTACTTAAAATTGTGTTTGATGAGCGAAAGAGATATGAGTTTTGAAATTTCTAGATATTAGAACTTTTTTTTTGGAATTTGATGAAGTCAAAAGATAATTCGAGTTTGATATTTCCAGATATCAAAAATTTTCCAAAGAGATGGAGGGTTGATATCACTTTCAATCATTGACCATTTCCCGCCACTGTCTACCATTGTCACTGCCAATCACCTCGGTTGCCCGTCTCCCTCGACTATCAATACTTAAATTATTATAATTCTAAATTTTTCAAAGAACTTTGTTTTAGGTTTTAAAACTCATATCCAACTTTCGAAACTCATATCTTATCTCATACCTCTAAATTTCATCACACGTGCCTTAATTGATTTTTCTTTCTTTTCTCTTTCATGCTAAAGATTTAAAATTCATATTATAAAAGATAAATCCGTCAAAAATCAAAACATGAACTATTTTCATGAGAGAGAGAGAGTAACAATAATATATTCTTCAACTCAAAATGGAGTTTTTGGCTTTGTTTGGGGACAACGTATTCGATTAGCGTTAGTGTTTTGGATAAAATTTTAATGGTGTAAATTAATTTCGAAAACGCTAACTCTAAAGGCTACCGTCGGATAGCCTTTTCAAAACGCTAACGCTAATAGCTAACGCTGATGCCAAACGGGGCCTTTATTTTTCTTGAAATATCTTAAACCAATTAAAATTTGTGCATGTACATTTTTACTTTTCTAATCTTGGACGAATAAAAACAAATATACTACTCCCAACTTCTTTTTAAGCTCCAACAAGAATTTCATTAACATTTTTTTCTAAAACACATTTTAACACTACGTTGCATATTAAACGGGCCATAAGCATTCAAAAAAAAAAACGGGCCATAAACGTTAAAACTCTATTTTGGACGGAAGGAGAATTCAAAATGGGATGCGACGGACAAGCACTAGACAACAATGATGTTCAGACCTGGTTATTTGTCCTAACAAATTTCATCATTGAAATTTGTTACAAATCTGAGAGTGGTTATTTGTCCCTGCACCATGGGATTAATTGTACGTTCGCACATGTAAGATCTTATTTTGACTTTTACATAGTCAAAAAAGATGATAATTGAATGTTGTTCAAATTAACACCGCTTTTAAAAGACTTCCTATTTTAAATTTTTTCATTAAAACACTTTTATTTTCTATTAAAAAATTACTTTTATCTCTACTAACTTTTATCTTACGTATCATATTATATATTTTACTAATAATCTACCCATCACATGTTACTTTTTATCTTGGGCAAAATTAGAAAGTGAAATTCAATTATTTCTTCTTTATTTTTGCCCAAAATATAATCAATTTAGAAATTCTTTTTAAAAATGGAGGGGGTAAAAAGTCAATAAAAGTAGGAGAAAATTAAAGATGTATTCAAGCACACGAGAATACATGAATGCAAGGAGCCCAACACCTACTGCGCATGTAGTAAGAGTAGTAAACAACTAAACTAAACATGAATGGGAACATAATGTTTTAATAAAATATGTTATAAAATCTTTTTTTCAATTCTTCTTTTGTAGAATTTTTGGTGTCTTTTAAATATGTAATTTTTATTTTGATATAAATTTGTAAACATAATTATTTTTAAAATAAATGTAATTTAATGACTAGTGAGAAAAATAATGTATAAGTGATTCGATGTTAATAATGACTAGTGAGAAAAATAATGTATAAGTGATTCGATGTTAGACATTTAGTTGAATAATGACTAATAGATAATGACCAATGGTCCTGCATTGAGAAATAAAAATATATGATTCTAAATTGAGAAAGTCATTATGTTTTAGTTCTATTTAGATAAATTATCTTAAATTAAACTCTAATTTCTTGGAACAAACGGAGCCTTATTAATTTTGGGATGGAGAAAGGAAAAGTGGAAACGAACCCCGAATTGACCGGACATCCCAACCTTTGACTGAATCATGAAAAGGCGGTGATATATTTGGAGAGAGCGGATAGGGTAAATTTCACTAATGGTACCTGAACTTTAGCTGGAATTTCGAAGTGGTACCTGAACTTCAAATCCTTTCACAAAAATCCCTGAACTTACACAATCCTTTGACGGCGGGCACCAACTCCAATGCGGTCATGGCATCCGGGCGACCTCCAAGGAACCCTCAATTGCAAGATTTGATGAAGATTTGCAAAACCCCCCATTTTGGACCCAATTTCGATTTTAGGGTTTTTTCGAGTAGAAAAATTCAGATTCGAGAAGTTACAGGCAAAATTAGACAAAATGGTTTGGATATTATTGATCCTCGTCTCAAGACGAAGAGAATGACATTGGTCCCGCCGGAATCGGAAAAAGTTCATTTTCCGGCGACTTTGACCGGCGGGCGGCGGCGGGGCCTGGAAGAAAAGAAAAGAAGAAATGGGGTCAAATTGAAAATTTTAAAATATATAAAATTCGAATTTGGCCCTAATGACCGGAAGTTAACCTAGAAAGGGGCTAATGGCTCATTAGTGAAAGGATTGTGTAAGTTCAGGGATTTTTGTGAAAGGATTTGAAGTTCAGGTACCACTTCAAAATTCCAGCTAAAGTTCAGGTACCATTAGTGAAATTTACCCGAGCGGATATGGGTACTAATTAGGTGTAAACCTACAAAATTTATATTGATTCAATTCCATCCTGCCCAAAATCTCCAAATATTGAAATTTATTTTGGGTGTTTGGTAAGTAAAAAATTATATCAAATTCAATATCTCCAGATATCACAAATCCTTCAAATAGAGAGTTTCGATATCTTCCGAATTTGAGAGCTATCAAGGGGATTTGATATCTTTCTCAATCATTGATCATTTTCCATCGCTGCCAACCATCCTCGTTTCCGGTCACTCCCGTATCAGATTTGTTTCAAATTTCAAAATCCATATCATATCTCTCAGATTTAATAACTCATATCTTATTATAATTCCTAAACTCACCAAACGAGCCCTAAGATAAGAAGAGTGCAAAAGAATTTTGTAGTTGACACACTTCACACAATTACAATATAAAATATTTATGTTTAACCTAAGATTTTTATACGCATCAGAAATCACATTGATAATGACTGGGAGGTTTGTGTTAAAATAAGATTTTTATACCTATCAAGATCGTATCTCACCCTATATTGATGAGATTAAAAGCTTAATTAGTTTGTGACTTTGTGTTGTCAAAAGAAAAAAACAGTATAGATCACATCATAGTTCCTTTTAAAAAGAAAGTACTACTTTGTATAAGAAAATTTAGAAACAACTCCATTTTGAAAATCTTAATCATTTGAAAGTGGTTTGTTTAAATATAGAAAAAATTATCAATAATAATTCCATCTTTTTCACTTTTTTAAAAAAATAATTCCAATTTTTACTGTTACTGGAAATAATTCCACCTTTATGCATGTGTGTGAGTTTTGAGTTGTCGTTAAAAAGCTAACACTAACAAAATTTTAGGAAAATGTCTCTTCTTTACAAATAAACAAAACATGAGATTATTTTAGACAATTTTACTTTTTCTTTTTATTTTTAATTTAAAATTTGCGTTTTTGTAAATATAACAGTACAATTTTGTTAGAGATTTGTCTCAATTTTTTTAAAAATAGAATGATTTACGAATTTTGTTTTCTGTCTTGGGGGAAGTATAATATTGGATTATCAAAAAATAATTCAGAGTATCGCTCGATAATGAAATTTCATTACAAAAAAATTTTAGTAAGTTATAAAATT